AGGGCATCTTAAATATGCTAATATATCAATTTTAGCCAAATTCCTCTTCTTTTATGTCAGTTGGCAAACCAATCTTAGCCACTCTCCAAGGCAGCACAGACCAAGTTAGACGCCAAATTGAATTTAACACATATGAAAACAAGGCTGTGAGGGATAGATTTACAGTCTTTACAATGACACACACTGTATAAAGGTACTAGATCACATAATTTTCACAGCTCACAACTTTCAAAACTGTTTTATTGAGTTTTTATCTACTGAAAGACATTTCGTCAGATGAACAATCATGTTGTTAAACAACTGTACAATCCTCACATCCTCATTTTCATTCCTGTCAAAAATTAAACCCGAAGCTACCCTGATTCAGTTCTATTGCATGCATGCTTCAGAATGTACTGCAACAGTCAGTGGAAAAAATAGACTGGTCCTGAAATTGCATACTCCCTGAGTAGGTACTTACTTTGTGACCAAGAAAAAAGTACAGTCTGTATAGTATGAATGTGTGCATAATGAATGTATTACGGACATACTACATTTGTAATACTGCCATTGTCATGTGACCTATAGCGTCAGCAGTCACTGGATGTGCAAGTCAAAATCCTGACAGAATCAGTAGATCATCCGGATACTTTTTTCCTGTTGTTTTAAAAATACTGTGAATTCAGACTTACTGTTTGCCTACAATGCTACAATTGCCACCTAAATGCTGTCTTCATAAATAAAGCTCCAACTTATGCATTCAAGAATGAAAAATAATACTTATATTTAATATTATTGTTATATTTACTATTTTACATTTGTTTTTAATATCGTTTTCATCAATTATATTTGCATGTATTTTAACAAATTCATTTGTTTATCTTGAGTACCATTATTAGATACTACAGCAGTAAAGTGATTACTTTGAGATAGGCTTTTATTTGAGATACAGTGGGTTAATATGACTGATTTTTCAGTGTTACAATTGCCCCCAAACACTGTTACAATCGTCCCCACCAAGGGGACAATTGTAACACTCTGACTTCTTGTATTTAATTTAATATTATAATGTTGTAATTACACTGAACAAAATTATAAACGCAACACTTTTGTTTGAGTTCAGCTCATGAAAAATGGGGGCAAAAACAAAAGTGTTGCGTTTATATTTTTGTTCAGTGTATTAGTGAAAATATATCAATTGTATTATTAATTAGTGCACCTATATTTGTTTCTTGTATCAAAAGATGACTAGTGTATTTCAAGTAGTCTGTGAGCTATGAAGGGAAATGTAAAGTATTTTTAAAACAAACAACAAAAAACTCCTGTACACTGGAAAAAAACAAGGATTATTATAAGTCTACTTCAAATTTCTTTTGAGAGAAGTATTATTTTTCCTATTTTTACCCAAAATAGGATGGATTGGCTATTATTGAGCTCTACAAACACATGTAATGTCTGTTTCATTCATACTGGACGCCGGAGGGCGCCCTTGCGCAGAAACTCCACATATACATCACAGAAGTAATGGAACACATGACGTTTCAGGAAATCCCTAATATGGACAAAGGCATGCCGCTGTGACTGGTTAAATGCAGAGCACAAATTCCGAGTATGGGTCACCATACTTGGCCACACGTCACTTCACTTTCACTTTCAAATGCACGTCATAAGCGGGGAGGCGTTTCCTCATCTCAGCGTGTGAACTCACGGGATCACAAACAAAGCAAATTCAGAGAGAAATAAAACATACGGAAAATATTCAAACGCAAAACCGAAAAAAAAAAAAAAATGCGATTCACAAGCGCGTATTGTTTTTGAAAAAAACCAGCATATGCTGGTTAGGTATGTTTTGAAGCATGGCTGCTGGTTTGAGCTTGTTTAAGCTGGTCCTAGGCTGTCATGAGCTGGTTTAAGCTGGTCATGTGCTGGTCCTAAGCTGTCATGAGCTGGTTTAAGATGGTCATGTGCTGGTCCTAAGCTGGTCATGTGCTGGTTTAAGCTGGTCATGTGCTGGTCCTAAACTGGTCATGTGCTGGTTTAAGCTGGTCATGTGCTGGTCCTAAGCTGGTCATGTGCTGGTTTAAGCTGGTCATGTGCTGGTCCTAAGCTGGTCCTAAGCAACTATCTCCTGCTCAGGACCAGCTTATAACCAGCTCAGGACCACCTTAAACCAGCTCAAACCAGCTGACATGCTTCAAAACATACCAAACCAGCATATGCTGTTTTATTCAACAGGATCCCTTGTTGTTGATGCCACAGTGAGAATATGGATTGTTTCTTATGCCGTGCTGCTGTGGACTGTGAATCAGGCTTAGATATGACAGGAAATATATTTCTTTTCGCACAAATAACAGGTTTACAGATGTGTTACGAGAGATTCCTATGTGTGATGTATCATAGCCCGTAATATATGAGGCGCAAGTCCTTCCAGCAGCTCATGAAAAGCATGCACTAATAAAAAACATGCACTTTTTATGTTAAAAATTTTTAGTATGTACATGTTAATTTCTACATTCTACATTTCCATTTATAACAATTCTAGTTAACCTTAGTTAATGTATTATGAACAGTCATGAATAAATGAAAAACTGAATATTTGTTATTATTATTATTATTATTATTATAAGTAGTAGTAGTAGTAGTAGTATTAATACGCAGATAAAAAAATCAAAAAGTGACTGACTCTGTTAGAAATCTTATAATGGGCCATATTTGGATCTTCCAACCGGACAATGATCCAAAAACAAATCTTAAAAACAACACAGAAATGGGTCACTGGGCACAAACCAAGCTTCTGCTATGGCAATTCCAGTCCTCTGACCTGAACCCTATAAAAAATGAGTTTTACAAAAGTAACGATATTACAGTAGTATATTACTTTCTGCTGTAACGCAGTAATATAACGCATTACTAATAAAATTTGGGTAATATTATTACAACATTATTATTATACAATTAGTTACAACAACATACTTTAACTCTAAACTAAGTGGTGAATTTACCAACACCGCAAAACAGCACCAGAGAAAAAATTCTGCGGGTAAAATAGTTTGTCTATTTCCTGTTGCTGGAATTAGATGTTTGAGATGACTGCAGAGATGGATTCTACATTTGTGAGATGGACTCCTGTTATTTTCAGTTCATCGGAGAAAAGGAGAAGAATGCATAGTCAGGTGGAATATGTGCGACACCAAACTCTCAGCATGGAGAAATAGCAGGAGTAAAACCTGGAAACACCTGGACTGGTGCCACTAACACTTA